TTGACACTCCATTTCATTTTTTTATATTTAGCGATTACATTTTTCAGTAAATATTAGTATTTACAGTTATTCTAATAAATAAAAATGATTTATTGGAATTGAATTAAGTTAAACAAAATATTAGTTAAGTTAAACAGTATAAAAAGAAGAAGTAATACATAAAATATTCTAGATCCGCCACGTTTCTTCTTGCTATACGAACTACGCGATTGCAAATAAAAAATAATCTTTTTAATTAAAATTTTTTAATTTTTATATTAAATTTTTTAAGTTTTACATTAAAAAAATGGTTTTTGCTGCATTATTAAAAAATTAACTATACTGAAAAAAATAATGTTATATCAACAGCATTATTTTAATTGAAAATAATTTTGTTAGTTCACAACAGATATTTATATTAATAAAACAAATTTTTAAATAAGAGCATGACGTATTTGTTTTGTTAATAATGTTATTTAATTAACAAAATTATGTTCATTTAAATTAATGCTGTTGGTATAACATTCTTTTTTCCAGTAGATATATATATATACAAATATAAAAATAATTTTATTTAAACCATCAAAATAATTATGTAGGATGATGAAACTGATTGCTAGAATGTTAATATCTTTTGCAGCATTACCATCAACGTTTAAGTGTTCTAATGGTCCAAATAATTTTAATGGTCCAACAAAATTATTCATAGATTTATATATATCTAGATATAATTTCTCTCTAGATTTAAATTTTTAGATACTTCTGCAATATTTTTTCTGTATTTTTTACTATTTTACTAATTTATAAATTAATTGCTAAAATATTGAAAAAAAATTTGTAATATTACAAGAAGTGACATATAATTTTTATACAATAAAAACTATAGAATGAAGTTATTTGCATATTTGTTTAAAAATAATTAAAAATTTTCTTAACAATAATTGTCTATGATATGATAACATTAACTGCATAATTATTTGTGATACTTACATCGTGTGCAAAAATTGTCCTAGAGACCCACTTCATCCAAATGCGGATACGGAAGAAAAACACATGAGAATGTTCTTAATTTGATGATTGTAATTACATGCTACGTATTGTTTTAAATCGCGACCACACATACGAAATCAGTACACGTACGAAATCACGTAAGTTTAATGAGTAAACGCAACTGTGTCTTCCGGCTTGACATGAAAAGGATTTTTATTTAGCGCTTACACAAAAGGTATTATTCTAATTAGGCCAAGCCGACGAAAAATTAAAGAAAATATCCTTAGAACAATAGAACAGTTTAAGAATCGTTATTTTTCAAACGTTCTCTAAAATCTCATGAAAGAAGATTTTCTTTTTTTGGGATCTCGCTCTCTCTCAGCATCTATTTGCTATTCACAGGAAAGACAATTTTGCCTTCGGCGATGGGGGCTATGCCGGGCATACCGGCAACGATACATCCGAGACTCCGCCTGTCGGCTTGCCTTATATTCCGTATATATCGCCCAAGAGGCAACAACGTGCCTCTTGAGATCAGTATGACTGTCGGTGTGTACGGATACGACGTCAGTATGGAAATAAAGCACTTCCGAGCTCCGCGAAAAATGCATACGTTCCCGCTGACTAACCCTTGAAACCTTCCTTCGAGATCCCTTCCAATCCCTCCTCGTCACCAGCTCGTCCCGAAAAACCGGTAACACCACGCGATATAACGTACGATTAGGACTACATGAGAAGGAAGTCGTTACGCGTCTTCGAGATCATTTAAAGGCTGATAAAATTCACTTCGTCTTTGTAGACATCAACTCTTTCCTCGTAGCAAATTCTAACGTCTCATGCGGGTTTGATGAATTTTAACGAGTTCGGGAAGTTATCATTAACCGTTAAATATATTCTTCCCTGTAATATCTGTTGTAATCTATCTATCTATTTAACTAAAAACGAGATAATTTTGTTAAAATTGTGATAATAATGTCTTTTTTTTAAATTTTATTATACAAATTTGATCTGTCATAAGATTGTGAAAAAATATTTCAATTTTTTAAAATGTATTGGCATAAAAATACGGCAATTATACATCTTTATTTCCTTTTTAATTAAATAACAATATAATTATTTTATTTGTTATGCAACTGTATAGAAAAAAAAATATATAATATTTTTTTTAAATTATGGGTAAATTGAAGCTATGTCTAATAATAATATATTATTCAAAGGCAGAAGATTGTTATTATAAACAAAAAAAATTTTCAAAGTTTAACAGTATATAATTATATTGAGATTTTGTAAAAGATATTAAAACGATATTAACATTTTAATATTTTAAACTTGCTATTAACGTAGTATTTTTAGAAGATTCAATGAAAGATTAAAATTATGTCTCTTACATTGGTATATCGTCAATTAGTTTACTCAACGACCTACTGGTTTAACGCGAACAAGCTCGTCTTTATATCAGAAAACGTGTGAATATTCTCATAGCTTCAGTTTCAGATTACACAGGAAGTTTCATGATCGTATTGTCTGGTAACACGAAACAGTAAGTAGTGGAAAACAAGAGAAGAAATGTACACGAAACAACGTAGATACTGAGAAAAGAAGCTGATAAGTACTGATGGCGAATGGATTCGCGTGGAAAATCTGCGAGTAACGATTTTAGCACGAAAATCTGGGTACTAACCATTCCTAACCGAAGACGAAGCGATAGCGTTTCATTTACATAACCGTAATTCTACTTAGTGGCGGATACCTAATTCCCTCATACGTTTCCGTGTCTCCACCGTGCCAGAATTCGTGGTATTTAGGCGACCGCCGATTTAGCTGAGTACTTTCTCGAGACAAACACTTTCAGATGTGCAAACTTGTAATCCACATTACGGCGGGCCAATCTCTGCAAATGGACTCGAAAACAACGTGTAATATCCTACACTGCTAATGCCAATATTTACGGCTGGTCTTGGTATAGCGCACAGCTGCAAATAGAGAGTAAATCACATAACACACTAATGACATAGAAAGAAAAAACCGTGTATTATATAAGAATTACCGTTGCAATTCTTATTATTACATTTATTATCTCATCATGTCTCATATAATAAAGAGTTAGAATAGGATAAAGATGAAAGAGGGAACAGAAATAAAAATTAAGCTCTATTTACAAAGTATTCATATATTTACATGAGGAGTGTATATTAAGAATACAGGCTAATAAAATCATTATATCCTGCGAGTAATCGCGTTGATTACTCATGGGATATAAAATTCTGCATATATAAAATATAAATTAAAATCCTAATAAAATGTATATAAATTAAGATTCTCTAAAAAAAAAGGTGGATATGGGTTAGGAGCAAGTGGATGCGTTTTATGGCTTGGCAGTATCGTCACTGCGTACTTTGTAACAATGAGCGTCTCTTAAAACTATACGCTCTACTTATTTTACGTATCTGCAATACACCAAGTTATGCATAATCGTTTGCCAGGCGAAAGGGCATAAAAATACAAGAACTTTAAGATTATGCCACACTCGGGATTTTAACGATGTGCTTTCACGACAGGCGCTCATTTTCAACTTACGCGCAGAACTGCGAATCCTGAGTCGCGTAAAAATTGTTAATACGCGAGCGGCGGAAGGAAGTAACGTACATCGCTTGCGTTCTCTCGTGCCCGATAGTAATCGACGTTTTGAGGTTGCTCCGCGTTTCCGTCGTATACGCGCCCTAAGCACGTGTACGGCATGAGTGTATTTCTTCGCATGCATCTAACAGCGGACTAGAAGATAGACGGTAATAGGTCCGCATCCACCGATTATCGTCACAAAGGCATGTAAAACCAAACATAACGCGCTTGCACGCCCGCAGAGACGAGCAAAGCGGTTCACTCGAAACGAGATTCTCACAGAGGAACTCGGTTCTTTTCCACCTGATCATTAAATGTGAGGTTCTGAACTTTCACCTCGATAAAGGCTAAAATTACGAAAGATATGAGGCCGTCGATCAATCCATCTGGCGAACGACCAAGTGACTTTACGCGGGTACACCATTTCGCTAGCTGTAGACTTCGCGAGAGAGGTGCCGTAACCCATTGACCTACATAAGTGTTAATAAACGTCGCGTAATGCTCGTCGTACCTCGTTTAACGTTTTCATGCATTGTGCGAGAGCAGCGAATGTCAGACTTTGCCACCTTTTTTGAATCGGACCGTCGTGGCATCGATTATCAATAATCCGACAAAAATCTTGTTCAATATTAAATAATTCCCTCGTACCTCGTTCTCGAAAGAACTATCGAGTCAACGAGATTTCCATGAACGAGGTAAGATAAGCCGCTGACGCGAGGACACGGAAAAGTCGGAGAGTTCTGGATCCTTGGTTGGATCTTAACAAACGTTTGATAAAAAGGATCAGCACTCATGGAAGTGAAATCTTCTCGCACGATAAAAATGCCATTGATACTCGCGTCTCTTCCTAACAATCGCTCCGATAATCTTGGTGAGAGGCGAAAGGTTCAAACGGATGATTCGTCTAACAGAACGTTATCGATACTGGCCAATAAATAATTATTACTTTCGCTTGCTTGGATGAAAATATAAAGATAAAAAGGATTGCATAAACTTTCGTTTTGTGCTCGTGCCTTTCATACCTTCTAATTCCGGTTTCCAGTCGATCAGATATTTTAAGTGTTTCTTGAGCATTCTCTACTATCACAATTACGCAATCTCATGTCTTCGCTCGAACAATTTTTAGAAATAAAGCAATCAAACGAGTTATTAGAAAGTTATTAGAAAGAATATTGAATTGCGAAAGATTAATTTATCGCAACTTAAAAAAAAAAACAGAAATCGCAATGTATTAATACATAGAAAAATAATCGTTTGTGGTTGTGGTCACACATTTAAAAGAAAAAATATCAAAGAATTTGTAATGCGAAAATATTATATGTTCTTATCAAGAAACGCGGCTGCGTTTCGCGTCAAGTATATTTTTTGTAACGTATTTAATATACAAGAAATATTTGAAATATTGTGTCGCAGATACACAATTTTAATAAAAGATCGATATTTTACTGATAGATTTTGATGATCACTTACAAGCAAAGAAAGTAAATGGCATCACGTTAGCAGCGGTATCTGTTTTCGCTCGTCGGAAGTGGAAATCGACAAATCTCTGCAGAAAATCAGGGCGATTGTGAGGCAATATTAAGAATACTATAAAATATTTTTACAAAGGCACACACTTATGAATTAATTTACGAGGATTTTGTTTTATTGTTGCTCTGCTTGTTTTCCCTCATGACTTGTGTCTCATTTTTCGACACCGACCTAATCTCTTTTTTCACTTGTCCGTATTTAGTATCAAAAAATAAAGCCACTGACGAATCTTTCCTATCTTTATCCCTATCGCTAACTTTTTCGCTTCGATCTTGTAGTCCGTTGTTTTGCGCTTGACTATCTACGGTGGTAAAGTGATTAGTAACACCAGTTTCTTGTGACAAATCAGGACCATAAACTTTATTTAATTGTTGAGCCTGAGGTAAACCTTGAAATTGTGTAGCGCTATTTTCCTCTATAGGCTGCTCTATGGCAGCTAGTATGTCCTGAAGAAGACCATTAGATAACACCTGATCGTGTCTGATGCTGCCATCCGAGTTCTCAGTGCCCAATCCTCCATCCGCTGGTTGTATTTGTAGTTTATAAGTACCTTTTGAACCGTGAATCTCAAATCCGTCGGCATTGTCAGCTGTCAATTTTTGGGCAAGAGACAATGCCTCACTACCCTCGCTTGTTTTCAGAAATTGACTAGCGTCCACCTCATTCGATCCGATATTTTTTTCTTGGTCAAAGCTTTGCGCGGTCAAACGTGCTACCAACGCTTCAGCTGAAAGTCCTGAACCATGTTCGAACAACGCTGTTGCGGAGTAGGTGTTACGAGACTGACTAGGCAAATGCGTGGAAAGCTCATTCGAAACATCTGCGATAGATGTTTGAACAGCTCTGGTATCACTCGCTTCGTTGGACGAATCGTAAGTTAGTCCTATAGGATTACCATAGCTGTCTTTTAAATTAATCTTCGGCTGTTCATTATTTTCTAAATCCAGCGTGCTCACTGGAGGCCCCCCCAGAAAATTATCAAGTGGTTTTGGATGTGGCAGTATATTATCTGCAAAAATGGAATTTTGATTGTTGACGTCGGATAAATCATTTCCCGTAAAAACTGGATTGTGACTGTCCACATTTCCAACGGGAGCTCCGGTATTTTCAAAACCAAGTTGTAGCTTACCGCTAGAATGCGCGGGTAATTCGCCACCTAATGATAGTCCCTCGCTCGAGAGCGCTCCACCACCTGAAGATAAGCCTCCACTCGAGTGTAGCTCTCCGCTGGAATGCAATTCTCCGCCTGAAGGTAAACTACCGCTTAAAGGTAGCTCTCCGGTTGCGGACGGTCCTCTACTTGAATACGCCCCGTTCACGGGCAAGAGTGGCTGCAAGGAATTGCAGTCGTAACTGCCACCGATTGATAATGGCGCGTTTACTACAGGTGTGCCGTACGTTGTCAGCGTATTACTAATTCCGTTGTAGAGGTTACTACCAAATCCGGAAGATGTTGAAACAAAAGAAGTCGATGGGCCAAAATTAGGTGCTCCATAAGTTAAGTGTGGTGCTGGTGTATTAAAATCGTTGAAAGATAATGGAGTTCCGTATTGAACATGAGGCGCAGCAATTGGTGAATTTAAATTGTGTACATTAAATGAACCAGACGATCCAAAAGAGCTTGAAAATAAATTGCTCGGTCCCGATGTGTGGCGGAAAGATACTGGCACATGAAGATTTGGTAATTGCTGCTTTGCAGGTGGTGGCAAATATCGATTAATATTTGACAATAATCCCGTTGGTATTGGTTCTCTGAATTTAATCGGTTCTCGATTTCGTGGTGGTATCAAAGAACCAACAGGAATTGGCGGTGGCCTGAATGGACCATGAAGTCGATGAGAATGCAAGCTCGGCTTATGGAAAGAGCCTCCAAATATTCCAAATGATGAAAACAATGAACCTCGTCCTCCATGCGCCACAGGGTAAAGACCATTAGGCGAGTAAGAAGATAGAGGTGGTGCACTATAAGAATTTAAAGGTGGAGGAGAAAGCAAAGGTACTCTTGATATATCATCAGGCTTTCCAAAAGTGGCAGATGTTAAAGGCGGGCCATAATCATTTGATGGCGTCTGCTGCGGAAGTTGCTGCAAGGATAGATCGTTCCCTATATTTCGAAATCCGTGAAAATCTCCGCCACTGCTTAGAGCATCAGCATGGAATCCGCCACTGTTTGCTGTTAATTCTAACCCCGAATGAAGTGGCGCAGAATTGGTATTGACCGAATTCGAGATGTGATTAAACGATGAGATATCAGAAGTACCACCTGATAATGATAAACCTAAGAGGTCCGTATTCAAAGCGCCAGTTGTAGGCAACAATTCAAATCCTACTGTCTTTACAATGGACAAAGGTTCGACATTCGGCGCTCCGTACTGCAAGTTTAATTGTTGTCGACCAAATTGATGATCGGATTGACTGGTTGTAGTAATGACACCCGGACCTTGATTGTTGTGCAGGGGTTCGTTTTGTGGCAACGGCGGCGGCGGTAATCCGTTACTCTCTGAGGAAGCCGAGGACTCGTGCACAGATGTCTTTAGATTTTGATCTTCGGGATTTTGTAATGGCACACCGTAAGAATCGCTGGGCACATTCGCATTCATTGAGGCGCTCAATGAAGCATGAGACAATTGCGATCCCGACGAACTTTCAGCATGATTATGCTTCGCCTCGAGAGGAGGGCCATATGTATCTGTCAGAAGACCACTTTGATTAGGGGTGGTAGCCGATCCTGCGATGGGCTGCCATCCATCGTACTTTATGTCAGGGGGTGTGGGTGGTGCTGGAACTCCTGGTGGAGGTGCTGGCGGTGGAGGTCCGTATAAATCACTAGCTGGTGAACCGTACTGCGGTTGCGGCACAGATACGGGAGGCGGCGGTGGTCCGTACTCGTCATTGGGCAGAGGATTAAACTGAATAGCTAATTTCGGAGGTGGTGGATCGTAAGTCTCGAGCGGTATAGGAATAGGTGGTCCGTGACCTGGCTTGGGCGGTATATATTGCTGACTCGATGTAGCGACGAGCTTCAATGGCGGACCGTACTGAGGTTTTGGTGATCTAAACGGTGGAAATGGAACCAACGGCGGCATGAAATGTTGTTTTGGCAGTCCATAATGAAATTTTGGCGGGCCATAAATAGGTTTAGAAAAAAGGGACGTTGCCAAACCGAAACTTTGTTTCGGCAGTCCATATTGCGGCTTGATATTTCGTGGTGGTCCGTAAGAAATGGCCAAAGAATCAAATGATACAGGTGGTGGTACTTCCGGAGGTGGCGGTGGATAAATAGGCGTCGGTCCAAGATTGCCGATTAATTCCGGCGGCCCATATACTGGCGCTGGTCCTTTAAAACCAGATCCCAACGGTGGCCCATATTCGTCAGACGGAGAATCAAAAGTATTCATTATTCGGTCTTCAGCTTTAACCTTGGATTTTTCTTCTTCCTTAGTTAACGTCACTTGCGAGGTCGCCTTGTTGACTACCGCTTGTACATGATGTCCAATTAACAGGACGCAGAACACCACGAATAGCATCTAAAAGCAGAACGAGATGACTAGAATCGGAGAAAGTGAATCGGCTTCACGGCTATTGCAATTAATATTGTTTTTCTTTATTTTCCACACTGATTATGTATGATTATACTGGAAATAAAGTCATAGGATAAAATCAACTTGTGTAAAGATAATAATATATTATGCTTAAGATCTTGGAAGTTTTAACTGTAGAGTAGAAATATTTTGTAATAAAGCTAACATAATTTTACATATTTCATTTTTTTAATTTCTCATACTTATTTAAACGGCTTTACTCTATATTTTACTGTAGAATATATATATATGCATATATGTAAATTAATTAAATAATAATGATTGATTTAATGCTATAAACATTGCAATTTATAAAAATTTAATTATTGCAACTCTTAAGTCAATACTAAATCAAAATTATTAATTTTTACTTTTATACATTTTTCCGCTTTTTATTTTTTTACGTATCTATAATCAATGCTACGTAGATAAGCACTATATTTTATAAACACTATATTCCTTTGTGTAAACGCTATATAAATACTATATTTGTATAAACATTGTTTTCCTTTGTATTATTATCGAAAATGAAAGGGAAATAATTACGTCTTGCACGTATTCATTCAAACATCTGAAACACTGTATTATACGTGTTCTAATTAGTTCGTTGGACGCTTAAGAATAGTTTCGCAGAACATGAAGATCACCCATGCTCGCTATTGTACAGTAGCCATATTGGAGGCCGTGAGAACTCGTTATTCGCTTAAGCCCGGGAAGTCATCTCAACGTATGTGAAAATTATGTAAAGCCACATTTACACATTCTGGATATTAGGGAAGCGTGCACGTGAGTGAATAATTACGTCAATTGTAAGCGGAATAGCAGGTGTTGCATGAAGAGGAATTACGAAAAATGAATAAATAAGATTTCTTTTGAGGTGCTAACTTTGCTTATTTTTAATACAAAGCGGCAATTTTTAGAACAAAGAACTGTTATACATATGTTAATAATTTAGAAAAAAGGTACATAATTACATACCCAGATAGCACACGACATTAATAGAAAGTATATGAACGTTCTAAGAATATTTGTACATTCTTAAAATGTTCTATGAACGTCTTTAGAAGTTTGCTGTATGGGTATGTTTTACAAAAAAAAGTATTCTACAAAAAAATCATTTAAATCATTTCTCTTGATCTCAATTGTTATTGTTAAAATGATTACTTAAGTATTCTTTCCATGACACATAAAACTAGAACGCGCAAAATTTGCATATATTTTCGTCATAAATATCTGTTGCAAAAGAAACTATTATTTATGCTATGTATTATGTGAAGTAATCGGCATTAGATTACTACTATACTAGTAAATATATGTGCTACAATAATTTCGAAGCTCCTAATTCTATTGCAGTATATGTATAGAAAAAATTAACTGAATATTAGGTAACATTATGTACATATATTTTTAAACTATGCTTATAAAAATACTATACTTGCAATTACATTTTATACAATTAATTATCGCATAGTAGCATTTTGCTCTAATGACAATATTATGACAAATTATATATAATACAATTCTCTACAACAATTATAATAGTTAATACCATTTCTATGTTTCTTTTATAAAATATTAGGCCGATATAAGAAGAAGCGGTGAGAACATACAAGCTCACCGTCTGTCAATGCCGGTAAGAAACCATTGGCTTCTTTTAAGTGGCACGATGGCCGAGATGCAAGGCTAACATAATCAACCGTACTTTCTCCAAAGACCACGGGAAATGTTTGCAATCCGGCAATGTATTGCAATGATTGCCGCTTCAAATAATTGCGTTTTTGAAGATACTACTACAGTCTTATTTCTTATTATGATATTTTATTATTTATTCGTAAAACGCTTGTGTTCCAAGTCAACTCTCAAAATTTAAGGATTAGTGGCTAAAAAAAGAGTATAAGAAAATTGAAATATTATACATATAAATAATTATACTTTTCAATATACTTGCAATTTTATCAAGTTTTTTAGATTAATTATTATGATTTTTCTTATATTCGATTGTAATATAATTATTTATTTAATACAAAAATTATAATAATTATAATTGATATGTGTTACATGCAACTAATTTTTCATGCAACTTGTATCCTGCCGATTAAATTTATTTATCAATAATTTTTCTAGAGACCCATAAAAATAAATAAAATAAATTTAATTAATAACAATAATGCAAATTATTTTGTAAAAATTTATTAATTGCTTACCCTTAATATTCATGAATGTTATTAAAAGAATTTTTGTTTCCTGAACATACATAATCTTGAGAAATAATCTGATCATATAATAAGTTTAAATACACAAACTTAATCCAGTTATGAGACAATGCTAATAATTACAACTAAACTTCTCTTTTCACTTTCTACAATCCAATTTACAATCATCAAAATAAATCAAAATAATATTGTTTGATTAGGCCAATACAGTAAGAATAGGACTTACAAGACGGGTACACACGCAATCCATCAATGTAAACGAGGTCAACAAAAGAAAGTTCAATCAACCGGGATATGTTTGTCCGAAATATGTATGTATATTTTCACATTTCTTGAATTATATCATACAAATGGGATAAAACATTTTTTAGTCATTAGCTATATAAAGTACAAAATTAATGACGCAGCAATATTTTGAAAAAAATTTTACTCGTTCTTATATTATATTTTGCTTTTTCATAGATTACATTGTTGTTGAATACTTGACAAAGTGATTCGATAGCATACGTTGCATGCAGCACGCGTAAATAGGAAGTAATGACATCTATGAATAAATCGAATCTGAATTTACATTGAAATTCAAATATGTGCCATAATCACGAACATCGATTACACGTACGTAATTAATGAAAACGTGTTATCTTCATAATATAAAAGAAATTGACATTTGTTTTATTTTCTTTCGTGGTTGTAAATAGCCACTTTCATACTGGATTACTTTTGCATAAGAGGATGCACTTTTTATTGCCCGTATGAAAACGCGTGTATCTCACGTGAACTCTCGTTTTCACGCACATTGTGATGCACATAGGTGCAATGACCTATATACTTTAGCCAGTATATAATTAACTTTTATTTAATTCTTCCTTATATTTTTACACTTTCTATGCATAATATATGCAAAAAATTCTCGAGGATTTAAAGTAGAAAGACTAACTTATTTAACATAAAAATAAATTAAAAATAAATTCTATCTGCACTTTAGATTAGCCGATAAGAAACCGCCAATTACTTAATTTCTAGTTGGAAATAGTCTCAGTAGAATTATCGATAATGCGTACGCCTAAGACCCCTATCGTGCACTCCTTCTATAATGCATGCGCCCTCCCTTATTAGTACGGAAATTTATTCACATCGAGGGTGCAACACTATTTTAATCGTAGAGATTTCTGAGTACTAAAGTGTGTGTTCTGTTCTTTCTTTCATTCCTTGATAAGACTGACGTAATACGTATATATACATATTTAAAAAATCGATTAATTAAAACACGGAAATCAATAACGTCTATTTTATGAAGATATATTGTATATACGAATAATTAAATCAGTGCGTAAAATGAAATAATTATAAACTTAAATTACAACATTTAATTTTATTAAATCAAATCAAATGTTCAATAAAATTTAATTTAAATTAATTATAAAAAATTACTATTTATGAAAAATTCATTTTCATTATATATTTGAAAATAAAAATTTTTAGCTAAAGTAACAAATGACACTTAAGGTTTTAGTTAATAATGATCACAATTAAAATAATTTATTACAATTCATTAGAAAATATTACTTAAATAAGTATAAGTAAAACAATAATGACTTTATAATTGATCGACAAATGAAATTAATATTTATGAATAATTTTATATAAGATCAAAATGAATGCAAATATTATTAATTAAAATATTAAGAGCATTATATACAATATAAAAAATGCAGTTCTATTAATAAAAATTGCTATTAGATTATACACAATAGTATCTCGAGAAAATTTGTTATTTGGTGAAATCAATATTTTTAAATTTCTCTTTCTAAATTGTTATATATTAAAAATAACAATGAATTTTTAAATAAGTAGCTTTAGTTTAAAAAGGGAATGTATAAATTAAGTTAAGCTAATAAAACGCTTTGCAACATATTAAAAACTTCCAAATCTTCCAAGAGAGAAATGACGTATTCTAATATAAATAAGAATTAATAGTTAAAAAAAATATTATGCAAAATTAAAACACTTTATTGTTTAGTAAAGATATATTTATTAATTACATTTCCATTAATTTCTTGAGGATAAACACTCTGACTAAACAAAGCACAATTCAGACTCGCTGCGACCTACCTTGAATTTAACCATGATACACGCACGTAAACCGCAATCTTGGCACTTGTACACACAGATTATCCGACACTACGTAGATCTCCTTACTCTGGAAGCGTTTCTTCAGCTTTTTTCGCTACCGCACTTTAAGTCGCGCCTAACCGGAGCTTGTCGTATGCGATTTAACGATGGCTTTTCGTGTCACACATCGCGCGCAACATACTGACGTTCGTCAGCCCGCAGCCTTTTTGACAAGCGAGCACCACGACTCGCAATACTAACAAAAAATGTTCAGTCTCGTATGAAGACTCCGCTTATATAGACTCCGAGAAGACTACCAGTTGGAGGAGTTGTCGACTGAAGTTGCCGGGTGAATCGTGGAAAGGAGACCCGGGAAGAGGAGAGAGTGAGTGCGCCTAAGGGTACAGAGGGAAGAGAGAGGAATATGAGAGAGAGAGGGCGTACAGAGAGATGATGTGGGGAAGAGCGCGAAAAGAGGCAGCCCTCCTCATACGCCGTTTAAAAATTCTCTTTGTAGAGAAAGTAGGCTAGCATTGCATTGCCGAAGAAGACGAAGATGCGCCGTCGTACGTGTAATCCCCGATCCCCAGTGACTACAACATCCGTTGCGTGAAATTGGTTATAAATCTTTCCGCTCAGAAGATGGTTCGGAAGGATTGGTCAATCGAATCCTTCACCCTGTATTCGACAATAAGAACCGATGTGAATTATTGATAATGCGTCTACTCACGTCTAGCGGAAACTGAAAAAGTGCAGTAAGATCATGATTTGCATAAAAATTGCAAGAAATTTATGCTAAATTGTCTATATTTTATGTAAAAGACATTTATTTTGGCAGGTCCAGTTGATATTGATCAATAACTGAACGCCAACAGATATACGCAGCATTTGAGATTCATTACGACTTTTATATTAGCCGGCGCTTAATTTAAGGATTGATCAAGAATTAGAAATACATGTATACATGATCGTTAAGTCTTGAAGGATGTCCATCAAGAGAATTGCATTGCATGCATAAGAAATCTTACGCAACGCAATGTAATTATTGTAGATTGATGTAATCTTCAATCGTACTAATTAATTATCGCAATATGATATCGATGACTTTAATGCAATACAGGAAAACAGGTTGCTCTTTACTAAATAAGACCTGTCTTTCACTAGAAATATCATAAGTATTGCTCGTATCTTTATGGAATTAGTTTATAAAGAAAAACGACTGTTAAGTAATTATACGTGCTCAAAAGCGAAAGGAGTTTGTTAATAATAAAATAAAGTTAATGTTGAAATTATTGTTGTATTTTTGTAACCTTTTTGGTATTTATATAAATAATTTATATAAATAATGTGTTATTCAATGGATTAGCTTCTTAATAATTTATAAATAATTCAAATTGTAATTTAAAATTTTAGAAACTAGAAAGCGACATATAAAGATTTATCATAGAGAAAAGTTTAATCGTTTTCATTAACTTGATAAATGCATTGGTTGGATAGAAAAAGCACATCTTCAAAAATAAAAAAAGAAACAACCAAATATCTCTACATATTTTTATATATTATATATACCTACATATATAGGGTGTCTGGTAAGTTTTGACAAAGCGCTCGTGTGTAGACTAAACTGAGTCGAAAAGTCCTTTACCATTTTGCAATTTTCGCAATAGTTAATGAGATATTAATTACTAAAAATTGCCGAATATTGGTCTTCGATAATTTTTTTCTTAAATACTATCAACTTTACAGAAAAATTGCAAGAGACAAAAATTGTTTACTTTCTTCTCATAGAACACTAAGAATTTTTTATCAACTTTTTAATACTGCATTTTCTTATTTTTACCAACATGAGAAAATACGGTAACAAAAAATTCTGAAAAAATTTTTAAAAAATTCTCAGAGCTTTGTGAGAAGAAAATAAACAATTTTTGTCTCTTACTATTTTTCTGTAAAGTTGATAATTTTTTAGTAAAAAATTATTTAAGACCAAAATTCAATGATTTTTAGTTAATTAATATCTTGTTAACTATTGCGAAAATTTCAAAATGGTACAGGACTCAGTTTAGTCCGCTCTATCTACACACGAGCGCTTTGTCAAAACTTACCAGACACCCTGTATATATGTACTTTTACGTTATATTATAAGTACTTTTATGTTTACGCAAAATACTGTTAGAACATTTTAAAACTTTTAATCATGCTCAAGATTTTATTCTAATGTGAAATAAGAAGACGGGAAATAACAGTTTATATACCTGTGCATATCAGATGCACACTGACATATGATATATACACACATGCCATGTCCTATTGAGATCCATTACGTTATCATCAATAATTCAGTGGAAAAGTGCCGCCCCTCGTGGTTTGGCTTTGCTTGTCTGTCGGCAGTACCATCTATCGCTGATACTGTTACTGCCGCAAAAATCTCGGAATAACGAGAGACCCGCAAACAAAATTGTTTCATCCAAAAGTCTGTGTGGCCCAGAGGAACGGTGAAGGTAACTAGTTGCGGTACGCGCTGGAATTAATTGTCCAACGACACCGTTCATCGGAATTTTTTCCAACCTCTCTTTATTCACCGATTTCTGCGCTCGAGTTTCTACCACATCGTTAAAACGACCACCAGTGTATCGTCATCATAGGAATTTATTCTAAAACTTTCAAGTTTATCTTTTTATTTAGACATATTTATAGTATATTAATTAAATAGTAGAAAATCGTTTTGTTACGCTGCTCTATAAATATTGTATTACTTTAATATAATATTAATAATATAACTTGTATTACTTTAATATAATATTAATTTGTACTCAATGTATATAATATTAATAATAATTATCGTACTATATTGTCAATATTTCTTAATATAATTTAACGTTAATAATCGATTTAGAACAATATTATATTGCTGTTTATAATATACATGTTACTTCGGTAAAATATATTAAATTTAAAATATATTAAATATTTTTTGTAATTTTATATATCTTAATATAACACATTTTACTAACTATTATTAGTTTAGTTATAAATTATGATAATCAATTGCAAAGTGAATTTGGGTTACGCTACCTAAATTTATGAATTTGACATTTATACACATACTATACAAGATAATATAAAATAATTTTGTCGCATACCTTCATTTCCGATTATTGTAACTCGTCATTCAACGAGATATTTTAGCCAGAATATATAGGTCATCTGTAGTCGAATCAGCAGATATTCCTTGTTGAATATATCCAATTCTTCGGAAAATCATAATTTGTGACGATGATGTCAGAGAAATTGGTAGTGTTAACTTTGTCTTTAATCTCGTCTTTTACGCGCTTGGCTGACGTTTATATCATAAATAATGTGCGCACTCACAGAGAATTTTCTGATCTGATTAAACTATCAAACTTGTATTACTAAAGTTTTAGTTTCATACATTACACCCGTTTCTCCTCTTACGTAAATTCTTGTGTGTATTTTATAAAATGAGTGGTATATTTATGAAATTATGTAATATATAAAGACATTTTTAAATAAAATTTTAATATAGTAAAATTTTAATAAAATAAATTTTAATAAAATTTACTTTAAAATTAATATATGTATTATTTTATATCTATAAATGTAAAATTTAATATAATTAAACAAATTTTCTCTGTTATACTATACTAAAAATAATTCTCTAAAACATTTTTGATAAGACAATTCTAATAAATTATTTCAGAAAATGTTTCAAAAGATGGATTTTTGAGTGTAGATGCACAAATCTGCAAGAATTGCAATGTTTTGCTCATTTCAAATCAAGTGTCATATTAATCTGGTAGCTGACTTTGTTTTTATGCAACAAATAGTTAACCATGAAAGGGAAGCTATATCAGTTACAGCAGGATACATGGTCAAGGTGAATGGTCAACAGGCATTGAAGTTTTAGGGTCACGTCAACTGGAATGCGCGCAGGTGCGGCAACATCTCGTATTGCCAGGTAAGACTTTCTTCTTTCTTTCACTCGAGGTCATCGTAGTGAGATACGTTGAGAGAAATCAACGATCGAAACGCTCTTCAACATTTCTAAACTACGAATATTTTTGAAATAGAATTTTTTATTAGCTTTAGTTACTATGTTAGAAGTAAAAGTGTACTTTCTTCGTTATACAAATACTGATACCTAAACACTATTAACGCGGCAATTCTGTTAAAAGCAGAATTTTAACACTTCTAATGTCTTTGGTATAATTCAAACTAATCAAACTTTTAAAGCTTTCTCGTATCAAATTAAATATTTTCTATTCACAAGTACAGAAATTATCATACTCTACATTTATTTGAGTAATGATTTTTTTATTTGTATTCTTTTGTACAAATCAAATTTATTTTTTTATTTAATCTATTATTTAATCTATTATTTAATCTATTATAATCATATATACTTAATTTTATTTGAATTCAAAATTATAAAGAAATATATAAGAATTCATAATATGTAAATTTATGAAGTAATTGCTCAAACGAGTTAAATGATAAAGAGTAGTACGAAGCATTAAACGCAAGCATGATACTAGCTCCTTCAATGACTATTCCAATGTTCACTTCATATATTAAGGGTTAATACCCATAGGCAAATGGTAACAATATTGGAAAATCTAGTAAGTGTCGATCCGTACAATTTATCAGCCCCAACTGGCTTGTCACACCTGATCTCCTGCTAAATTGTCTGCACATCCGGCAATCTGCATATAGCACAGCTGGTTCGATTTGCAACGAACAACCAGAAGTGACTCAATAAATTAATATTTGGTGTATATATATATATATTTGCTCATAAAAGAATAAACAAATCAATTTGTAATAACAAATTTATATCTTTTATAACCATTTAATAATTTAATTTTATAATTTAATTTAATTTTATAAAATGCACATAATGCATTTTATAATTTAAATTAAAATGTTTGTGTAACTGTTTGATTATTATGTCAAAGAAATCAAACTTTATTCATATACAGCATTATGATTTCATAGTAACGCTATATAATAACAAATATAATTACAAAAATCGAATTACCTTAAGAATATATGCAAAGAAAGAACGTAAAAGTGTCTATCAGCTATTCAAAGAATAATCGGTCCTTTGAAATAAGTTTATTCAAATGAATGCAAGACGAGAATGTACAGAATGGGCTTTCCTTTCAATCCACTGATGACTCCTTTTCCAATCGATGAACTGACTTTACAAACCTTACTTATATAATTAA